GGGAGGCTGTGAGGCAGCGAGCGGCGGGGGGTGTGTGTATGCGTGTGTGGGCAGAACTTGTGTTTCGTGGGAAAGGGCCAGTCCCGGCCTTCAGTAAAGGCGGTGTTTTTTCCTTCCCGCAGGCTGAAGAGCGGCAGCTGGAAGCTTTGCTGCACGGCAGACCCACCCCGCGCATCACAGGCCGGGCCAGCGCGGCCGGGGTGAGTTACTTCCACGGGACGCTGCCTCAGGAGACAGCGACGGGCGTAAAAGGTAAGAACGTGGCTCTCAGTACAGCGCTGGTACTGCTTCCGACTCGGGTGTACCTTGCTTCCCACGGCCCACAGGTGAAGTGAGGTCTGTAACGTATTTGCCGTGGCTTTCAATTTAGCAGTCGTAACACGTGAGAATTACCGCAGTCGTTGCGTGTGGGCTTTGGGTTCTTCGAACTTCGTTTCAACGCCAGTTGTTTTGGTTTGTTTTTTTTCATCACTCTCTGCTTCTTTGCTCTCGTTCTTTAATTGTACCAGTCTGCAGAAGGGCATTTAGTACGATACATACAAATGACATAATAAAGGCTTTTGTTACCTGAGCTTTATATATGAAATTTTAAAACTGTATCATCAGAAGCATCCTTTAACTGTGGTTAAGCTGAAATAGTTTAAAGTCGTTCCAGAGCGTGAGGCCAGACTGAAACTTGCATTTCTTTTTCAGCTGTTGCACACTAGTTTGTTATGAAGTGTTGTGTCCTATCTGTTTGAAAATCTGTTGAAATTAGGTGAACTAGGCAGAAGTCAAGGGAATGAGATTGGTCTTGTGGCATTGGCCATCCTATTGAGCATTAAAAATATCCCTTTGTTGTCTCTGTGTATCCCTTTGGCTTTTTCAGTGTCATCAATACTGAACCCTATGACAGAGTTTCTTATGAGTTATAACCAAGCAAATCCTTGGAATAGTCCCACTGTTAGGTTTTTTTTACTGTCTGTTCTTTCTCTTAGCAGTTTTTGGTCAGTTTGGTGCTTTTCATTTAACCTGAAAGGCCATACTTCTCAATATTTTTAGTGTAATCTGACTTGCTTCCCTTGATACTGTTGTCAGCTTTGCTCACGGTTGTCCTTTATTCCTGTGTTACTCCTTGGGTTTTGTCCTTTGATCCTTTGTGTCTTCTTCGTGCTGATATTTTTTCAGACCCAGGTTTTAGTTTCAGTGTCACGTCTTTGTAAAAATAAATTTGTAGAAATTCTGTTCCTCTATTTCTGTTAGTAGCAGTATGGGAAAAAAAAACTGTAACTCTTTCCTGCTTGATATTTTTGTCTTTACTGTGGCTTAAATTGGGCAAAGTAAAGGCAGCCTTGTTCATTTACATAATGAAAAATTAATTTGCTGTTTTTGAAAAGTCTTGGTAATGACTAATATTAGTCATTGTCGTGGTAGTAGCCGTTAGTTGTTTTAAGTAGTACCTTGGATAGCCAGGATACTGGCAGTTCTTTTGGCCTTACTGCTTGCTCAGTAGAAATGCTAACGTATGGCATGATTGATACTGCTAATATAATGCTAGAAAAGAGATTCATGGGAAAGTTTATAGAAAGCTGGAGAGTGGTATTACTACCAACTGTTCCTGAAATTGACAGTATCCTTAAAAGCAGTGGTGATATGTTATATCAATATCACTATGAATGCTAGAGTTCATGGAAACTTTGTTGTTCATGTTTTACTTAAAACAAATATGCTGGAAAAGACAGTCTTAACGTTCTACTTGAACCTCCCAAGCTGCAGTTCATTGCTTTGTGTTTATGTATTAGTTATACAATCTGCTGATAAGAAGTGTTTGGCTCTGTCCTCTTTGTAAGCACCCTTCAGGACGTTAGTTTTCAGTGTCTACAAAGTCTTCCCTTAGCTTCCACTTCACTAAACAAGTCCTCCACCTCTCATAGGTAATTTGCTTTAAACCCCAGACCATATTAGTACCTTTGGCCTCTCCAGTTTCTACACTTCTTTCTTGAACTGGGGAAAGGGAGAACTATGATGTCAAAACTGAAGACATTATTGTAGAAGCAGTCTTGGATACTGCTGAGTAAAGGAGGATAACAACATCCCTAGAGCCGCTTGCCACGTGCCTCTTAAAGTAGCCCAGTCTGTATGTGCATTATCAGTGAGAACACGCTGTATTTTGGGTGATATATTTACAGCTTTCTCTCTGATTTCAGAGAATCTTAACTGAATCTATTCTTGCACCTTGTTACAGGGGAAAGAATTTATTGAATCTTAACAAAAGATAACAAAAATTGTACAGAATTAGTTGGTTTGATATAAGTGAGTTGTCATACTGTGTTCTTTGCAGTCCAGAAAAAGTGAAGTGTGGACACGTTTACTGATTAAATCCTTTGGTTTGTTCCCTGGCAGATGTATAGCAGTCCTTGATTTGTTTTCTGAACTGATGCGATTCTAAAATTTGGATGTATTTCTGCCCCATCCCTGGAGGTGTTCAAGGCCAGGCTGGCTGTGGCCTTGGGCAACCTGGTCTAGCGGGAGGTGTCCCTGCCCATGGCAGGGGGGTTGGAACTCAATGATCTTCAAGGTCCTTTCCAACCTAAACCATTCTATGGTTCTATGATTCTATGATTCTGTGTTATGGGAGAAGTATGTGGATACTCTTTTGCCTCTATCAAAAGTAGTCAGTTGGGAAAAAAGTTAAACTGGTACTGCGGAACATTTAGGAGACTTGAAATATTCTATGACGTTAACTGTGTGTGCAGATACTTCCATAGAAAGGGAATTAAAGAATGAAGAGTAGAGTAGAAGTGAGTCTTGGATTTTTGCAAGTGAAAGGAGATGAAGGTGTTGAGGATTGGGAATGTAAGTATGGGACACTGGATGGTAATGCCAAGGAGCTGGTATTGGTGCTTGTGGTTTCTGAAGACACCATCTCATTGTGCTGAGGGGTGGCATTTGATGTTTCGTTTATATTTTAGGTGTAACTGAGTGCTGTTTTTTTTTCCTGTGAACTGAGACTTGAGAACATGCTGTTGTCTCAGTTCTGTGCATATTCAGTGGGATCTTGGAGAGCAGCTTTTCCTTGTGTGTGGTGAGTCTCTGCCTCATACAAGAAGAAATTTTGGCGTGGCGACAGAGCTGTGCTTGGATTTGCAGCTGACAGTATTGAGCACTTAATAGTTGAAGGGATTTCTTTTCCTTCCTCCCATACCAGACATGTGCTACTTAGTTATGATCCCAATGGTACGAAAAGCAGCAGACAGCAAGCAATGTTTCTGAAATTGCTCAATGTTTATTGTGAAGACGCAGTCTGAGATTAGTAAGTAAAGATGGGAAATGCTAACCTTAGCCAATGATCAAACTTGGAACTTTGAGCTGTGACTCGAAGTGCAGACCTTGCCTTCCTTCTAAGAAAGTGTTGCTTATATGGTTGGCGGACTCTATCAGCATTTCTACACACGCCTCATGGCTGTGAAGGTACCCAAAAGACTGCAGCTGTTTAATACTCACCTGCTCTGTTTCATCTCTAGCAGAGTCTTGTAGAACCTGTTCAACAGTGAGTTAAGCTCTAGCAGTACCTAACAGACTGTGGAGAAAATCCCTGTCCCAGTGATGTAACCCGTCTGTGGTGTAACCCATGTCCCTCTGCTTTTGCCGTGCAACAGAGAAGCCTGATTTGTAAGAGATGAAAATTGTCTCTATCCCACAATATTAGAGCCAATATTCATGGGCCTTTGCTGTTCTGTGGGGTCTGAGAGCATCTGTATGTCCTCTGCATAAGTTATGATTTGAAGAGGGCCTGGCCCCTAAGTTTAAAAAAAAAAAAAAAAAAAAAAAAAGGAGGGTAAGGTCACAACAAATTAAGATTTGAGAGTTCTGGGTTTGAACTCCTAAAGTACAGCTGTGATCTCTGCAGGAATTAATTTCACAAAAGTATCTGTACACAGTATTAATTAAAACTGGGGGATCCCATTAACACGAAGTTTGAGCTCATTGAGTCAGTCAGCTTTACAGAGTGCATGCAGGGGATAAGTTCCCAATAGAAATCCTGTTGGTGAGAAGGGAATGTAAGGAGAGACTTCGCCAGAGTCAAAATTGCCTGTTAGGATCACAGCCTGTAATGGCTTGACATAGTTGGAAGTCCCACATTCCTGCCTTTTTCTTATCCTAGCCACTTCTGGTGTCTGTGGAACAGTGTGCTCAGATGCCTTGACTTTTTGGCTTGGATTTTTGTCTGGTTCCCCCCATCTCCCCTCTTTTGGCCTTTTGAGGGTGATTATTAAATTGGTGCTTTCATAATATGTAAGTTTGCTCTAAGCTTACTTCACATTTTGATAAGACAGAGAAGGAAAAGAAGGTTAATACACAGGATTAGACCCCTAGAACTTACAGTTTTGCTTTTTAGGAATTAGTTTTACTTCAGTGTTCTCTAGCTGACAGAAGTGCTGAAGCCATCTTGAAGGCATGCTATGGTTTTGTTTTTCTGAATCTGGTAATTGATTGATTTTAATTTTTTAATTGCTTTTTTCCCCTCTAGTGTTAAGATTGATTTTTGTGAGAAAAAGGGGGTTGCTAATACCACAGCATTGCATTTCACTGGGAAGGGAGATCCCTAAATGTGGCTACTCATTCACTCTCACAGTACTGGTAAGCAGCTGAATGTATCTCCCAATAGTTAGCATAGTGTTTATTAGAATTTGTTTGGTGAACACCATAACCAGGCATAAGCTGTTGCACAGTGAAGGAGCTGCTTGTATCTTCTGCCTGCTTTTTTCATGCCTAGCAGATTTACCTGTCTAGCATAGTGGTGGGGAAATGATTGGGGAGCTTGATCCAAACAAAGAACTGTGCATTTTCCCCACTCTCTCCAGCTTCAGGTGTTCAAGGAGTGCAGGGACAAGCAGAGGGTTGTAGTCTTTATTTTGGTGACCATTCTTCTTTATATCAGCTTAACTTATTAGTAGCTAGCTTGAACTGCAAATTCAAGTTAGCTGCAGTAAGGATTGATTTAAAGTAGTTTGGGGTTTTTCTTTCTTTTTATTTATTTTTTTTAAGGAAAATAACTGTATAAATAGGACTAGCAGAAACTGCTTAGAGGAATTTGTTACATGTAAATGCAATGAACAGCTTCTTTTGTGGGTTCTTATGCTAAGTTTGCAATGGACTTTGCAAAATCCCAGCCACAATGAAGCACTATGCTGTTTGTGCATCTTGCTGTTTGTATTTGCTATACAAGTATCAGATATTTTTTCCAGTTAATTTTTTGCTATCCAAATCATACAGAATATACTGCTTCCTTAAATATTTTACATTATTTATAAACTTTATCTAAAAGTTGACACATCTTCAGGGAGATTATTATTTTTATCTTCGATTTTGTTATTTTGCTTGCGACAGCCTCATACAATGTTGTGTGAAGACTTGTTTACATACGGCCAAAAAGCAACTGTGCAAATTCATGGGAGACTAAATCTCTTGACGGCTATTAAATTTAAATTCCTTGCCTCTTGCTAGGAAATCCCTGAACCACAGTTTTCTGGAGGATGGGAGCGCATTCTTCAAAAATATCACTAGAAGATTGGCCTGTTCTGACCTTGGCCTCTACTATGGTCTTTGACAGAAGCAGAACACTGAGTTAAATGAATTTTTGTTCTGACCTGCTGAGATTGGTTTCGTTTTCCATGGTGGTTTTTTTTTTTTTGGAGCAGCAATAGCTGCTCCAATTTTTAAATGAAAATACGAACCTTTTCAAGAATGAGAAGCATTAATAAAAAAGAAGCTTTGTGAATATTTCTCTTTGATTTTTTTTTGTTGTTGTGGTTGTCTTTAGATATGTCAGCTAATTATTTTGAAATAAGAAAATGACAAAAAGCCTCATAGTTTTTGTTTTTGTACTGTACTGACTTCAATACGTAAGTCTTCTGATGAGAACTGTCCTAGGTGAAGTACATAAATTTTTAGTAGAAGCACTGTTCCCTTGTGGGGGAAACCCTCCTTTTTTGCATCGGATCTGAATGTAGCTGAGAAATAATTTAATTTAGCTGTCATGATCTTAATTTTGTAGTGGAAAATCTGATGTTACATGAATGCCCCATAATCCATTTTTTTTTCCTTTCAAATGAATATCTCCTTGAATCTTTAGCCAAATACCTGGGGTGTGGGCTGCAAATTCACTGTTGTTACCATGCAGTTTTCCTATGGCAACTCATTATTTGGAGAACACTGTTCAGCAAAAGATCTAAAATCAAGTTTTATGAAGTCAAAGACATTATTTACCATTTTGTTTACACACGCGTGCTCTGCCAGCTTAAAAACTTTCAGAAGTTCTTGCTTTGGTTTTCATCTGATAATCAAACTGATGCTCTGCTACTTTTTTAGTTGAGTAGGTGCTTCAGAATTACACTTTATTAGGTCTTGTTTGATAGTGTAAGATAAGACTATATGTCTTCTGAAAGTACGTAATTGGACTTTTGAGTGGAAATAAATGAAATCACTTCATAACATGAAGTGTAGCTTTGATCTTGCAGGAATTTAGCTATGATTTCCTCCTTAGTGCAAACTCTACACCTACTTCTGTTTTTTTCGCTTATCCTTCTTTTCCTTTCCTTCACTACTATTTTTAGCTGCTCTGCAATTGTTAGCTATACTAGGTACTTCAGTGCTACAGTGTTTATACCAGAAAAATCTGAATATATCTTTTATTGCTGCTTTTCTTGTGTGTGCTTATTTTACTCAGGTTTTTTGTGCTGTGAATACAGAGTTCCTATTGTGATCCTTACAAATTAACCCGGTGTTTTCCAGTGTTGTCGTTACCTTGCTGTTTCCTGGCCAGTTTTGGCTGTGCAATCATGAAGGCAGCCTAAGGTACTCAAGATGTCAAAATACCTGCAAAAAAGAAGAAAGTTAAAGATACTGCAGCTAAAGACCTCTCTTTACTGCCTGTCCTGTCAACAATATTATGTACCAATTTGTTGTTTCATGATTATATTTCAAAGAAAAATGAAGGTAGCAGAACTTTTAGTGTACCATTAGAGTCTTGTCTTGACATGGATTCTTTGTGCTGGGCACTGTTCCACATAGGATAAACCAGTACCATTTGGATTTTATAGTCTAAGTCAGCATCTTGGTTCCTTGGAAATTAATGTTCTTCTGAGAAATACGGTGAGAATTTGAATGTTTAAGTTTGTTATGCAAAGGTGTCATAATTGCAGGAAGATTTTGGAGATTCTGCAAATTGGTAAAGGTTGAAATGACTGGCACAAGTAGATATGAAGAAATAGAAGGTAGACTGGTTTTGCAGGGTGACCTTGGCTGGCTGCCAGGTGCCCATTGGGCTGCTCTATCACTTGGCTTCTCTAGCTCCTCTGGAGCAGCACAGGGGGATGGGGAATGGGGGTTGTGACCAGTCCATCATGTGTTGCCTCTGCCATTCCCTCCTCCCACTCTGCCCCTGCTCCAAGCACGGGGTCCCTCCCACAGGAATCAGTCTGCCACGAACTTCTCTAATATATGTCCATCCCATAGGCTACAGTTCTTCACAAAGTGCTCTAGCATGGGGCTCTTCTACAGGATGCAGTCCTTCAGGAGCAGACTGCTCCAGCGTGAGTCCCCTGTGGGGTCACTGCCAGCAGACCTGCTACAATATGGGCTTCTCTCTCCACGGGGCCACAGGTCCTGCCAGGGGCCTGATCCAGTTTGGATTCTACATAGGGTCACAGCTTCCTTTAGGCATCCACCTGCTCTGGTGTGGGGTCCTCCGTGGGCTGCAGGTGGATATCTGCTCCACTGTGGACTTCCATGGGCTGCAGGGGGACAGCCTGCCTCACCATGGTCTTCATGATGGGCTACAGGAGAATCTCTGCTCCGGTGTGTGGAGCACCTTCTGCCCCTCCTTCTTCACTGACCTTGGTGTCTGCAGAGTTGCTTCTCTCACGTATTCTCACTCTTTTTTTCCAGCTGTTGTTGTACAGCAGTTTTTTCCCCATTCTTAAACATGTTATCCTGGAGGCACTACCATTGTCGCTGATGGTCTCAGCCTTGGCCAGTGGCAGGTCCATCTTGGAGCCAGCTGGCATTGGCTCTGTCAGACATAGGGGAAGCTTGTAGCAGCTTCTCAGGGAAACAACCCCTGAAGCTCCCAAACTACCAAATCCTTGCCATGCAAACCCAATACACAGGGCGGTTAAAGCAGAGAGATACAACGATGTATCACTTGGGAAATACAAAGCAGAGGTTGAGTTACTTGTTCTGTTCAATTATTGCTGTAAAGAGAGATCTGATATTATGGTTCTTATTTTTGAAAGTACACTTTCTTTAACCTTACGACCTTCAATTTTTAGTCTGTTTTTGTTGGGGATGATTGGAGACTAACGGATTCTGAGTTCTTAGATTATTATTTTTTTTAAATTGTGCAGAGCTATTACTGTTATAAAAGGTCTTTAATCTTCTTGCTAGTTTTGTTGTTAATGTGGTTGTTTTTTCAAAAAATTAAAATTTTAAACCTATGTCAGAATAACATTTCACTTCTCTAGCTTTCTTTCAATCTCTTAACAATTTTACACCTCAATTTTTTTTTTTCCTGAAGGTTGGAAAAATAAACTATTTTTAGTGTTAAACAAAAGCAAATCTTCCAAGACTGTTTGTTAAAGAGAAACTGTGCTTAGTTAGAAACCTTCAGTATATAAATATTTGACATGTATCTGTAGTATGAAAAGTTACATGAATTATAAACAGAAGGTTTTATAAACAGAAAACCAGTTTTAATTGTCAGACTTCATAGCTGCTTTTCTATATGTTTTTCTAATTTGTTGTAATGCTGTTTCTGTGGTCAGTATGAGTGTAATCTTTGTGTCATCTGGAGAACAATGTTTTGTTTTGTCTTTATAGAGTACACAAATGTATATTGGAAATCAGGCAATTGGCATTCTTAGTTCAGCTGATTAGCATTTTGTATGCTAAACAGGTAATGCAGGAGTACTAATATACTGAGGAAAATTCAGTTTCATTTAGGACTCTTAATTGTGAAACTAATTCATCCTCTTAATATGAAATGTCTAGGTCAATTCGAGTCGTAGAATTTAACTATCTGAAATGGGTCATTTTCTCTTTTGGGGAAAAACTATGCAGAAAATACAAAAATGTTAATACTCTGCATCTTTGCTTCTTTCAGACAACCCCATGGTTTGCTCTGCCTACAGCTGAAGTCATCACTAGTTGCTGTTTTGCTCTTAGTTTGCTGTGCTTCACAGGAGAGGTAACTGGTTTAAAATCAAAATATTTCCTGTAATTCCTTAAACCTAGTAAATGTGCTTGAAATTATAGACTTAATGATTGCTTTTTCTGCTGAGAGATTTCTGAAAGCAAAATAGTTTAATCACTGTACCTTGACACTGCCTGTGTATGGGTGTAATGCAATCTTACACAGTGTAGTCTGATGAAAAATGTTTAGATAATACTTGTCTATGTATGCTGTCTTTTTTTTTCTTAGGTGTTTTTCTTCCTTTTTATATGTTCTCAGATTTTCATGGATCTCAATAGTGCTAGCACTATTGTTTTGCGAGTCTTGACCCAAGCTACTAGTCAAGATACTTCAGTGTTGAAGCCAGCTGAGGAACAACTGAAGCAGTGGGAGACACAGCCAGGTTTTTATTCAGTCTTGTTGGTAAGATACAGTGGAAAAGTGCTGTTTAGTAAACTTTGAGTAATTTTGAATGTGACTGTCTAGAATACTGTTGAACCACGATCTCTGGCTGAGAGAAGCCTTGAGTCATCATGATCCAGTTACTAGTATCCTTATGCTGTGCGGTGGTAGGCGTTGTCATCAGGGTGTCTCAAAGCAGGCTCTTTTCCCAGACATTCAGAAGAAGGAGGAAATCCAATGTCTAGCAGCATGAGAGGATGGGCTCTACTGCTAAAACCTGTTGTTGGCCTGTTGTGAATTCTAGATAATAGAAGGCCAAGGAGAACCTTGTCAAAGGAATTACCTTTACTACCCCATGAGTCAGGGACGCTTGTATATACCAAGGCACTGACCACCTTTTCTTTATTGTGGAGGTGATGCATTATGACTGTTTTCATAGAAGCTCCCCCATGCTTTTCATTGCACTGAGACCCAGCTGGGATTGCTCTCCTTCTTGTCAGTGGAGAGAGGATCCCAGGGAGATTAGCTGACTGGGCTGATAGTCAGGTTCCTGAAATGGGAAAGGTGAAGACTTCTAAAGGTACTATGACCATTGATGAAATAAATGCATAAATGTGGTACAAGGGGATGAAAACATAGTCAAAGAAGAAGACCCAACTGTTTCAGAGAAGATACTCAGAAGCTAATTCTCTGATTCTTATGTGTTATGATTATAACAGTCTTAAAAACACAGATAAACTGCTTTTCCTACAAACATCTATCTTCAGTGCATAGGATGAATGACTTGTGGAAGTTGTGGAATGACGTGTTCTGTTCTCTGTAGACCCTCTGTTTCATTTGATTGGAAAGTTGAAGATAAGTCAGGGGATTTAGGGAAAGGGGAAAAAAAACCTGACTTTAGAGCTGTCAAATTGCATTTTACCCACTGCCTTTGCTATAGTGTTTCTGTGGTGATAAACAGATCTTGATAGAAAATAGCAGAAATTGCCACTGACTGGGCATTCTTTATTTTCTAGATGTATGCTGTGAGAGCTTGCAGCTCAGGTCGTAGACATGTTGAGCATGCACAGGTGTAATTGAAATTGATGTGAGCTAGTTTTAAATATAAGGGCTAAAAATGCGGGATTTGAAAGGATCAAATACTGTTAATTCTACTAATGTGGTTAAGTAGCCCTGTTCGGGGACACATCAGCCTTTCTTCAAGTGTGAAATATAAGCAGTAATCTTCCAAACTAAATAGAAGTAGAGAATCTGTGCTTCTTTGTTTAGCTTTATTATGACAGAAGGACTGCCTAGGAGAGAACATAGTTGGCACTTGGTGGAGCAGAAAAGGGTCGGGGGGAGCAGGTGATGATAAATGGAGAGTTGGTAGGACAGTTAATCTCTGAGGGTTATAGAGAGATGGTCAGACAGTTAATCTCTGTGGTATATAGAAAGTAATAGAATTACTTACTGTCAGATACATTTGCCTCTGGGATGATCAGGATACAGAAAATTATAATGTATGATGAAACATACACCTTTGAATCTACAATTTTTAGTACCCAGTGGAGTTATTAATGCTAGTTTCTGTGCTTCTCTTTTGAAGATGTTGCGTAACTCTCTTTTGAAGAACAGAGCTGAAAAGTCAGAGATAGAGTGGCTGTTTTTGAAAAGTAGCCTCGGTCCTTTACCAGTTGTATCAGTTTAGGTATTGTTTAGCTTCATTCCTGTTATTTCTACAATAGCCTGTTTTAGGAATCTCAAGTATAGATAGAGAGTATATAGAGAGGTTTCACTGATTCTTGTGTAGATCCCTTGGCCTTTTTTTGCATTTCTTGCCTAGGTCCAGTCTAGTTCTACTGTATGTTGATTTGAGGAAGCTTTGCTTCTGATGAAGATTTTTAGCAAGGAGGGGAATGGTAATTGGAAGGCTCAATGGGATTTTCAGAACACGTAGTTTGTTTTTTTTTTCTCCATGTATCATTTGCTTTGCAATGCTTTTCACAGATATGAGGGTAAAGCAGTGTTTGAAATTTCCTCTTTGTATTGTGAAATGCTGAAGTTGCACTTGGGAAAGGTAAAATCTTTCAGAGATTCAATCCCTCTTCCTAACTGAGCTTCGGGAAAGGAAGACATATTACATACAGATCCTTTTTGGGTTGTGTGGTGTTTATCAGTGGGCTACTGCCTTTTTGATGTTTTTCAAAAGGTTGCTACTTTTGGAGTTGTTACCTTTGTTGGCATGTAAGTCTGTTCACTTTCTAGTGATTGGAGTTTTTGAGGGCTTTTTTCTTGTTGGGCATTACATCTAGAAAGCTGTTACTATTATAGAGCTTGAGAGAAGGTTGTTTTGAATTCATAGTGAAAACGCTTGGTGAGGTCCCAGGTGTCTGTCGTGCTGAGTTCTTTCAGGGGTTTATTTATAGTTCTTCAGACATGGCACCCAAAAGTAGCTCTTGACCTGAATCCCAGCATTTTTCATGTCCTTTCTTAGTAGCCTTCTAAAAGCAATTGATACAAGTGCACAGTATAATAAGACCACTGAACTGACGTGTATTTGCTCCCTAAAGGAGGGAGTAATGTCTCACTCCCTCCAGAAAGATCATGTAATGCAGTGGAAAACAGGAGAGCTGTCATTCAGAGTAGCACACGTATTAAGATTCAATACCCTATCTTTATTTTAGCTTTTTCTGCTTGGTTAATTTTACAATGTTACTGCATTAAAAAATCCCTCTGTGTTTGTCTTTATATACATATAGGTACATAAAAGTCTATATAGATAGATACAGATATATGTATGTTTATAGATATATGGCTTTTTAGTGTAGAAACTAGTTTCTTAGAGTAAGTGTAGGCAAGTTTGAGAGGTGCTGTCCTACCAGGTCACTATTTTGCAGTCAACATTGGTAGTCAGGACAGTTTTCAGCATATGGCAAGGTGCTGAAGAAATCTTCTGAAAGTTCTCAGAAGTCTGTGGCACTACACAATACAGAATTATTTCTTATTCTAGTCAGAATCCAGCTTTGTCATTAAGGAGTGTAGTAACTGACTGGTGCCAGTAATTATTATAATTTTATTCCCTGCTCAGCCAGACAAGATTAGAAACACATTTGCCTTATATGTTTGGTTTATTTTTATAAATCAAATATTAGGGCTAGTAATAAGAATTTTTACAATCTTTAAAAATTAATGTTTAACACAGTGTTGCACTTGTCTGTCAAATGTTGACTGATGCATCTTGTTTATATACACCTGTACATACAGAAGTGTGTATTTATATGTATGCCAGTGCATGTGTTAGTAAAATTTCTATCTTCTCTATGGCAAATTGAGCAATTTTTAAGTTCATCTTTTTTTTTAAACAGAATATCTTTACAAATCATACCCTCGATGTGAATGTAAGGTGGTTAGCTGTGCTGTACTTCAAAAATGGAA